AGATGTGTATTACATATGTCATACCTTCTATCTCCCTAAACAGAAGAGATTTGCTCCAAAGCAGTTACATCTGGCAACCAGCCATCATTCTGGCCCCAGCATGTATGATACTCTGCTTGCTATTCTGCTAGTGATCAAACATGTCACTCACAGGGGAGGTGGCACATAATAACTAAGAAGAAATAGAAACCACTTAAAGCCTCAGGGTCCCTGATGCTTATATCCTATAGCCTCCCCCAGGCCCCAAGTGCCTTTCCCCATGCATATACACATATACCATCCAAACAGAAAGAGGGTCTAGAAATCCCAACTCCACTGGGTTCCAAATGGAGAGGTTCAGTAATATATCCACTGCCACATTCTAACTAATTTTAAGTGTTCAATAAACATTTGCTCAATTAAAAAATGAACAACAGGCCAGGCGCGGTGGCTCATGCCTGTAATCCCAGCACTTTGGGAGGCCGAGCTGGGTGGATCCCAAGGTCAGGAGATCGAGACCATCCTGGCTAATACGGTGAAACCCTGTCTCTACTAAAATTACCAAAAATTAGCCGGGCATGGTGGCGGGCGCCTGTACTCCCAGCTACTCGGGAGGCTGAGGCAGGGAATGGTGTGACCGGGAGCGGAGGTTGCAGTGAGCTGAGACTGCCGCCACTGCACTCCAGCCTGGCGCCACAGAGCAAGCCCTCTCCAAAAAAAAAAAAAAAATGAACAACAGAAAAATAAGAAAGCCAATTATGTGTGCTTCAGAGAGCGAGCTGGGGAGCAGGACGGAATGGCTAAGATGTAACCAGTGTGGTCAGTGCAACCCATGAGAACCCCAACAGTCAGGGTCTGAACAAGATACCAGGCCTGCCATTCTGACAAGAGTTAGCTCCCATTGGAAGGACTTCTCACTAAGGCTCAAGGCAGGCTGAGCAGCTGACAGCCTTCTACACAGGGCCTCTTCGGAGCCAGCATTCCTTGTCAGGCAGAGTACAGGCTCACCCAGCAACTGAGAAACCAATCCAGTGTGCACGGGAGGCCCCGGGCACCCAGCTGCTTACACATAAATCTGGACTTGGTGGTCTGGAGGTGTGGACAGAGGTTTGGAGTTAGAGCTATTCAAGAGAGGCAGCAAGAGCTATAGCAGCGTACAGTCCCCTCCCACGAGGAATCCCGGCCATCACAGGAGACCAGTTGTTCCCAGAGCTCCAGGGTCAAGGCTGAGAAGAATCCTCCCATTGGTGGGTCCTCAGCAGTAACTCTCCTCCGTGTGCTTGGATAGCAGGCAGTCTTCCAGCCTTGCTGGCAAGACTTGCCAGGGCACCCTCAGGGAAGCTCCACAGTGGGACTGAAAGAAACCGTGTGAGAGTGGCATTCATTAGCTCACGCACCAGCAAACATGCAAACCTGTATTCAGGGTGTGCTCTGTCAACCTCAAGGCCAAACTTTCTGACACTCCATAGGACTATTTTACCTGTATTCCTTTCAGAAGAAATGGACAAGGTCCTGAGTGCTGCCTTCTCTCCCTAACCTGAGAAGCCACAAATGCACTTTGAGAAACATCATGCTGCAGCACTTTCTGGACCCTGAGTTGAGTACATCACAGTTCTCGCATTTACATATTTAGCACAATATCCACTCACAACACACACGTACACACACGCAATCACAGACACACAAGTGTGGGGAGAACTATCAAAGCATCCTCCTTGCCTTGATCTAGAAATACAAGAGAGACACTGTATTGGCAGGAAGGGGGCAAGACTGAGAGTTGGGAGACCTGGATTCTAGTCTCAGTTACGTGAACAAACCACTGAACCTGTCTGAATCTCAGGCTCCTTATCAGTGAACATGTGAACAGCATCCATGTCAGGAGGGAGGATGCTGAACATGTTACATATGATGCTATGACTTCCTAATGTTCATTTATTACTTGGGCTCCTATTGTTTTTGAGGGAAATGGAAAGGACAGCTTGTTTTCTAAAATTAGTAGTGAGAAGGTGAGTCATAGAGTTCTCAGGTATATGAATTCCAAAGTGGGAAAGAAGAATAAATATCTTAGCCTTTATCAGAAGAATAGCCATCCTGACTTGGCACAATGACTCATGCCCGCAAACCCAGCATTTCGGGAGGTCGAGGCAGGTAGATCACTTGAGCCCAGGAGATAGAGACCAGCCTGGGCAACATGGTGAAACCTCATCTCTACAAAAAATACAAAAATTAGCCAGGCATGGTGGCGCATTCCTGTAATCCAAGCTACTCAGGAGGCTGAGGTAGGAGGATCATCTGAGCCCAGGGAGGTTGAGGCTGCAATGAGCTGTGATCCTGCCACTATACTCCAGCCTGGGTGACAGAGCAAGACCCTGTCTCAATAAAAGAGAATAGCCTTCCTTAGCCATCTTTTCTGGGTGTGTCCAATCTACATGGTTGTCTGGAGGATCAATGAAGTTAATATATGTGGAAACACTTTGAAATGTATACATTTAAATACATAAAGATTTACAATTGTTATAATAGTAGAAAATCATATGAGCCTACACTAGACCGAGTCCCTTAATTAGATGGCACAAGTCCTGTGATGATGGTGCTTGTGGTCATGTTCAGCTCCTAAACAGGAGACAGAGCAGCTGGGATGCAGCCCAGCCTCGGGGGTGGCAAACGGTTCATCACAGGGGACCCTGGAGCATGGGCACAGCTGCCTGATAATTGATACCCAGACAGAGGCGAGGTGATTCATCTGAGCACATGGAGCCTCGGTGCTCAAGAGTGCAGGCTTTGGAGTAGACCGACCTGCTTCAACTCCCTCTGCCAGCGCTGGGGGCCTTGGGAGAGAAACTTCATCTCCCTGAGCCCCGGTTCCTCATCTGCACACAGGGATAACAACCCCTGCCTAGTGGGGTTGATGATAAACATCATTATGTAAGTCCCTGGGTGCAGGCTGGGCCCAAGCTAAGTGCTAGGTGTACCACAGCACTATTATTATCTAGTACCCTGGTTAGAGCAAGGGGTGGGGACAGACATGGTGTGGGGAGACAGTCCCCTTCCTCCTCAGCAGGTGTTTCGGCTTAGAAGGCACGTGGCTGGTTCCCCAGGATGAGCCCACTGCCTCACACCAGGAGATGGGCCTTCCTCACATCTGAAATCATGGATTGCAGCATGGGACAAGGGGATAGTGAAGCATGACAACCCCTTTGTCTCACTTAGCTCCACATACATGAGCATTTCTGTTTCTCAAAAAGGCGGAGGATTGGGGTCGGGCACAGTGACTCAAACCTGTAATGCCAGCACTTTTGGAGGTCAAGGTGGGCAGATCACTTGAGGTCAAGAGTTTGAGACCAACTTGGCCAACATGGCGAAAACCCGTCTCGACTAAAAATACAAAAATTATCCAGGCATAGTAGCAGGCACCCGTAATCCCAGCTACTCGGGAGGATGAGGAAGGAGAATTGCTTGGACCCAGGAGGCAGAGGCTGTAGTAAGCCAAGATCACTCCACTTCACTCCAGCCTGGGCGATAGAGCTAGACTTTGTCTCAAAAAAAAAAAAAGTGTGTGGGAGAATTAGGCCCACACTCACCTGAGTTCTAGAAAACCTAAGAAAGGAGAATATGCTTTGTGCTTCTCTTTGTCTCCCACCCCATTCCCAACCCTGACATGGTGGCCAAAGGAAGTTAGGAGCCCTTAGGCACCTTCCCACAGCTCTCGTTATTACAGAGAAGATGTCAATCAAAGATGGCAGGGGCCAGGCACAGTGGCTCACGCCTGTAATCCCAGCACGCTGGGAGGCCGAGGCAGGCGGATCACTTGAGCCAAGGAGTTCAAGACCAGACTGGGCAACATGGTGAAGCCCTCTTTCTGCAAAAAAATGCACAAATTAGCTCGGTGTGGTGGCATGTGCCTGTCGTCCCAGCTATTCAGGAGGCAAAGGTGGAAGGATCACCCAAGCCTGGGAAGGTCAAGGCTGCAGTGAGCCAGGATCATGACACTGCACTCCAGCCTGGGTAACAGAGTAAGACCCTGTCTCAAAGGAAAAAAAAAAAGATACTTCAAAGATGGCAGGCAGGGGCACCAACCCAGGGACTTAGTTACAGAGACAATCTCATGCCAGTAGGGTCATGGGCAATGAACCCCTACAGGTTGAGGCAGGACAAAATGCAGAAGAGACATTAACACTTCCAACATCATATCTACAGTATTTCACTTGCTTCTTTATCTCCTTGCAGAAGGTCAGCTTCTGTCCTTCTTTCTTTCTTTTTTTTCTTTTTTTTTTTTTTTCTAAGACAGAGTCTCACTCTGTCGCCCAGGCTGCAGTGCAGTGGCGCGATCTCAGCTCACTGCAAGCTCCGCCTCCCGGGTTCACGCCATTCTCCTACCTCAGTCTCCCAAGTAGCTGGAACTACAGGCGTCCGCCACCCCACCCGGCTAATTTTTTATATTTTTAGTAGAGACAGGTTTTCACCGTGTTAGCCAGGATGGTCTTGATCTCCTGATCTCGTGATCCACCTGCCTTGGCCTCCCAAAGTGCTGGGATTACAGGCGTGAGCCACTGCAGCCAGCCCTTTCTTTCTTTTTGAGACAGAGATTCATTCTTGTCGCCCAGGCTGGAGAGCAATATTGCGGTCTCAGCTCACTGCAGCCTCCGCCTCTCAGGTTCAAGCGATTTTCCTGCCTCAGCCTCCCAAGTAGCTGGGATTACAGGCATGCACCACCACGCCCAGCTTTTTAGTAGTAGTAGTAGTAGTAGTAGTAGTAGTAGTAGTAGTAGTAGTAGTAGTAGTAGTAGTAGAGACTGGGTTTCACCATGTTAGCCAGGCTGGTCTCAAACTCCTGACCTCAGGTGATCTGCCTGCCTCGGCCTCCCGAAGTGAGCCACTATGCCTGGCCCAGCTTCTTGAAGAGATTTTTAATCTGTTTTGTTCATGCTATGTCCCTAGCACCCAGATCCATCCCCAGCACATGCTAGGAGATCATCACGTCAACATGTCCTGGGTGGAACACATGAAAACGTCCTGCTTACCTGGTTTCATTTTTCATCCTCCAGCCATCCCGACACTTGCGAAACCAGAGCTCCCGGCCTGGGGATATGCTGGTGTTCTCAGGGTCTTCTGCACAAAATGTCAGTCTAGGAAGGAAAAGAAACCATTGATGTAGCCAGAACTTTAGGGGGAATCCAGCTGTGCTTTCTGGATTCAAGGCAGGTGGGTGAGGAGGCAGGGGTGAAATTTTCATGCCATGCCCTGACTCAAAAGCCTTCAGAATTCCCCATCGCTACTGCAGGGACTCTAAACTGTGTCTCACGTTGAAGCTTCCATGATTCAGCCTCATGCAGCCTCAGCCAGACCTCTCCCACCTGCTTCCCTCTGTCTATCCAAAAGGCCACTTGCCTGTCAAGGCAATAGCCTCTCAAAAGCCTCCCTGACTGCTTGAGCCCTCATTAACCTAACCCTCCCTTGGCCTTTCAACTGGTTACAAAGTATGTCCTTATATAAATATTGCTTTTATTAGTGTTGCTACTTCTTGCAACATAGAGTTAAAAAAAAAAAAAAAAACACGTTTTATTTTAAAACCTTATGCCCTATGTGAAATTGCTTGCTGATTTCTGTGGTTGACTCCTCCACTAGACCGTAAACTTGAACGGAGTGATTCAAAGTACCTCTAGTCCAGTGCTCTGTAAATATCCATTGGCAAGAGCAACTGCAACTCAGCTGCAAGTCAAAATCAAAGACTCAGCAAATGGACAACCAAGACTCACAAGAAAGAATCAGGGCCTAATAACCATTTCCCTGTAACTTACGGCTGCCCCACGCAGCCTCGGGGGCGTGTGAGTAGCGTGACCACGTAATCCTTAAGTGTGTGGGGCACCTGACCCTGGAGCTGAGGCAGGACAAAAGCCCCATTCATAACAGTTTAAGAACCTTTCCCAGGAAGCCCTAAGGACCTTAGGACCTATATGTTTAAACACATATAAAAACATGACCTATCTCACGCACAATCAGGAAATGCAAATTCAAACCACAGCAGGGGGCCCATTCACACTTAACAAAATGACAAGAACGTCCCACCAGATATGGATGAAAAGGAGGGAAAAGGGAACTCTTCATCCATAATTAAGATGGAAAATTAGTTCAACCACTTTGGAGACAGATTTAATAATATCTGTTCAGGCTGGAGAATGCATATACTACAACCCAGCAATTCCACTTTTTAGAACACATGCTGAAAAACAGCCCTTACACACATGTGCACAAGGAAAGTGCAGAGGATGTTCATCTCAGCACCATTTGTAACTACAAAAAATCAGTAACAACTTAACTTATTCAGCAGAACAATGGCAAAACTATTTGTGCAATGGTGATTTACATACAGAGTTAAACAAGAATAGATTAGATCTTTATGTTTTGGATAAACTTCACAAACAATATTAGAATGAAAAAATCAAATTGTAAAATATTATGTCCACTCATGTAAAATTCAGAAGCATCCAAAACAATTCTATACATTGTTTATGTATACAAACAGAAGCACCAAGGGGGCTGGGCGCGGTGGCTCACACCTGTAATCCCAGCACTTTGGGAGGCCGAGGCAGGCAGATCACCTGAGGTCAGGAGTTTGAAACCAGCCTGGCCAATATGGCGAAACCCCATCTTTACTAAAAATACAAAAATTAGCTGGGCATGGTGGCACACACTTGTAATCCCAGCTACTCAGAAGGCTGAGGCAGGAGAATCACTTGAATCCGGGAGGCGGAGTTTGCAGTGAGCCAAGATTGTGCCACTGTACTCCAGCCTGGACAACAGAGCAAGACTCAGTCTCAAAA